TATGCTGTAGCAAGGGAAACGGAACTATTTGGTTACTAAAATAAGTTGGCAAAGCTTATTATTTCTGCTATTTTCTAATAAGTTACAAAATTAGGTAAGCAAATTCTTTAAACATATCAAAGATGGTTTCGAAATCCCTTGCTTGCTTGATTCCGAAATATGTTAAAGAATCATAGAAATAAACTTATAACCAACTAATCCCAGTTTCTCCTAATTTATTATTTTTTCATTTCATATGTACTGATTTTTTAGGAATTGAAATGTGCTATTAAAAAAATCGTTATGTTTCTTACAAGGGAACATAGGCAATCCGAAAATTCAGAAAATTCTGAAACATTATGTGCAAGTAGAGTAGTACATCCATAATATAAAACTATTTTTTGTTTTTGCTAAATTTCGATTTAAGGAGGTGAAACTACCCCTCGAAACTAATGAGTGGGGAAAGAGAGGTTCAAAAATTTTTCATTTTTGCAAAATTTGAATACACCGTTGCAAAGAGTATAAAATATTCTATCACTTTTATATAAACTATTTTTTCATATGCCTTGTATTTTATGAAATATTCGCTAAAAATAAAAATATTATGTTTTCGAGGGGTGATTTCACTCCCTTAAATTGAAATTCAGCAGAAACAAAAAATGTTATGGATGTACTATTCTACTTGCACACAATGTCTCAGAATTTTCTGAATTTTCGGGTTGTCTATGTTCCCTTGTTAGTAAGAATGACGTATCACTGACAGTTTTTATTTCTGCTAAATTCTTGAAAAATACATCCAATAAATAAAAGATATTTATTCGATGAGTAATAATAGTATATTTATTAATAGACATCTTTTTACGTTGAAAAATAACTTCTTTGGAATAAGAAAATATATATTTTTCTACAATAGTTGTACTTTTTATGAAAACAATTGTTTTTTCATTTTAAAAACGGAAGAATTTAGATTTAAATAAATATGTGATTAGTTGTCCACCGAATAAATATATTTTATTTTTCAAATATTTTTTCCCTCAGTGTATTGGAAACAGTAAAATTGATAAGAATTTATATGAAAAAGGAAATTACAATATTTTCACTGTGTAAGAGGATAATTAATAAAAATATTATTCGCGGTATAAAGGGCCGGTTCGATGTGGTTGCAACGTAGTTAGGTGGCTTATATCCCACGCTTGTGTTAAAAGTCTAGAAAATAAATCCATCACCTACGTTACACTCTACTTTACCCTATTATTAATTTTATCCTTCTGTCAGATTCAAATAATCGCATCCAATATCTAGAGACGCAACTTTTATTAAACTGTCCTTTTATAAGGGAAAATTGGTTGCTTACTTTTTTAGAACATTTATAATGTCTCTCTTGATAAAAGCTTTAGCATCCCTGATCCGATTTTTGGCGTCTGAGACCCGTATTAAATCGTCACTTGAAACTTGCCTCAAGGGAGATTCTCAGATTTGAACTTAAAGTTAGACGCGTGAATTTTTCAGCTGAATCGCGCACGATTACGAACGTGAAGTCGCACATATCATACGATTCAAATAAAAAACTCGAACTTAACTCTATATTCAGATCTGAATGTTTTACTTGGCGCAAGTTTCAAGTAATAACCATTAATACGATTCTGAATGTTAAAACGGCGGTGGCGCGCCAACGAAGAATTAATGTTGAACTATTAATAACTATCATTAAATTCGACGATCGCCTATCTTCTTCTTCTCTCTTGCCGCGGCGCGTCGATATTTTCCTCTTATCTACACGAAATTCCAATTTCTCTCACTGTTGCCGTCCTCGCGTCGACAATACGTCATTGATCTCGCGCTCCTTCCGGAATGGACATTCGTTGTTAAACGATATACGCTTCCCGCACAACCCCCCGCGCGAATTCATACAGAAACTCGTAATTATTCTCGACGGGCCGCGCGAAATCTCTTCATTAAAGGGCTCTGCCTAGAAAGGATAATTAAAAGTTCCACGAGAAGCTTCGGAGCTGACGCGGGGGACGCTGCAGGATGTTCGAATTTTAACCCCGTTTGTTCCCTTCAGCTGCGTCCCGTACGCGCGCTATACAATTCTCTGCTTACCGCGTCAGAGAAAGCAAGTCGGCCGATTCGAAGGAATAAAATCGAGCGTAGAAGATGTCCGAGCGATTCGAGCGAAACAAACGGAATAAAGCTGCTTGAGAGCGCAATTTGGACACGCAGCTTTATAAAGTTTCAGTAGCGCTGTGTTTTACCGTCCCTCTTGAATATGGCGAGGATCAATGTATATGTGAATAAACATGCGTACGACAACAAAGAACGATATCGGCATATATAACTTAGCCGTCGATCGTCCGTACTTCCGGGATATGCGTGTAATATAGAGCCGCGTCGCGCAACCTTCGTGGAGAAGAAGGAGGACTTGCTTTGTACATTTTAATATTTCCGCGTCTCGCGAGACTCGTTACGCGACAAGAACCGCGGCGCGTCCCGGACAACCGGTAAGAATGGCCACTTAATTAAGGTGGACCTTAATTAAATTAAAGTCTTTAATTAAAAGTCGTTTAAGTTAAACAAATAAATCTTATCGCGCACCGCGTAGGCACTAACATAAATTACTTAATTCCACGTAGGACGGTAGTCTCTTTCGCAGCTCGCGCGCGATGCTAATTGTGTGTCGTCGTAATTAGTTTACATTTTAAACGGCGGCTGGACGAAGGCAGCCTCGTAATGAGAACTGCGTTACGCGCGTACGTTATAAATTTGTTCCACCGGCGAAATATGTGTCCCTGTGCAGTCGCACGACCGAATTGCATTACGACGTATGCGGAGTGTTTCGTGGCGACCGTGTTATTTATCGACGATAGACACGACAAATCAACAATTTGTTATTCCTTAGCTGATATATGTACAGAGTGCTTCAGGACAATCTCCAAAGCTCTCGTGGAGGCATAGTACGGATTGAGGTGAACATAAAAGTCCTGCACCTTTAGTTTTGTAATATTTGTAGTAATTATGGAGATACTAATTACAGAAGATTTGTAAATAATCACGCGAGATGGTAGATGAGCTGTAGTGGCTACTTCTGCCATCGTGTGTTTGTATATTAGGTCAAGCTGAACAAAAAAGTCCTTCACCATTTTCCTAACAACTTTGTAGACTTTTTATTATTAATTAAGGAAAATTAGCGGATGATCATTCGCGATAATATATTAATCCATTAACGCCCAAATGCACAAAATTCTTTCAATGTCTTCGAAATACTAAAAAATGTCATTTAATACTAGCTTTTTAAGATTTAAATAAAAAAAATTATAACTTTTACAGTATTTTTTTCATAATTATCTCAAATTTTTCTTGCAAAACACTGTTTTCTCAGGGTAATAAATATATAAAGTGCGCACTAAGTACTTTTATTTTAAAAATATACCGTTTTTTACCTATATGGTTTTTTTCAAAATAATCATGGCGGTCTCAAAATTGCAGCCCAATATATAGAAATTTTAAAAATCTAACTAAATTTATCTAAAAATCTATTTAAATTTAAAAGCAGCATCCAAAAAATTCTAAATATTGATTTTCATACACTTTGGAAATTGTTTTTTGTTCGCCATATTGGATAAATCATTTTTAATTTTAAAAATTTGACTTTAAATCTAGAATTGACTTTAAATTTAGAATCAGCGACCCAAAAAACCTTTAAATAGCGACTTTTATGTAAATTAACAATTTTTTTCATTTTTTGGCCCGCCATATTGGATCCACCATCTTACATTTTGATATTCTAACTTCAAATTTACAATCAATGATCTAAAAGAAATTCGATTCAAAGAAAAAAAGTTGTCAGAATACAAACAGAGAATCAAGAATGAGCGAAATTTCTACATTGGGCTGCAATTTTGAGACCGTCATGATTATTTTGAAAAAACCACTAGTATATTTTTAAAGTAAAAGTACTTAATGCACGCTTTATGTATTTGTTACCCTGAGAAACAGTGTTTTGCAAGGAAAAATTTGAGATAATTATGAAAAAAATATTGTAAAATTTGTGATTTTTTAATTTAAATCTTAAAAAACTAATATTAAATGACATTTTTTAGTATTTTACGACCCAGAATCGGAAAGACACACCCAAAAATACTAAAATCTTTTCAGAAAAAAAATTATTGTATTTTTATTGAGTTATAGGCGTTCGAAGAAATTGAAAAAATGTTGTGCATTTGGGAGTTAATGGGTTAATGTTCTTTAATTAATAATTAAAGATCTACGTGATTATTTGCAATAATAATGGACTCTTTTGCTCAGTTTAATCTAATATACAAGCACACGATGGCACTACAGATTATCTACCACATCTCGTGTGATTATTCATAAATCTTCTTTAATTAATAAAATTTCGCTTTCGGGGGAATAGCTGAAATAACACATATAAAAAATAAAATGTGTTATTAAAAAGTTTGCTGTTTCAAGAAAAATTTATACAAATATAATAATTTTAAACTACACTGAGAGAATATTATATAGTTTTCTTTTCGTAAATTCTTTTCAACTTTACCGTCAGAAAGGAACAATTAAAAAAAAAAAATATATATATATATATAAAACAAATGAAAGAACAGTATAACCTTTTTATTTCATATATACTATTTATATATTAGGGCGAGGAGGGAAGGACTGAAAAAAATTAGAAAAATATAAAAAAAATCCCCTATGTTCCTAGAAAAATTTACTGTGCTCCTTAGCTAGATAGACTTTACTGATAGAAGTAAAATTGAAAAGAATGTATACAAAAAAAACTACAATAATCTTTTAGTGTTGGAAAATAACGCGGTAGCTATGGGGTATAATTAAAATCGCTCTGCCATAAAAAAAATGTATAAAAAAAAAAGATTGCGCTGCGACAGAAAAATTGCCGTGTCTTAATCGTGGTGACGGTCGAGGTGCCGCGAGCTTTGCGAATAATTAACCGCGTGTACATACTGTAACTAATTTCACTAATACTAACCCTTTTTTCTTTCCAGACATGTCCTACAAGCCGCGCCATCCCATTATCGAGGGTAAGTATTTTCAATCATAATACCTGTACTAATGATATGCCAATCTAAATCGGGGATGGCTTCGCGTTCGTTTGAAGCTCGGCTGCGAGCGCTTTGTACAAATGCCATGCTACGATAATATTGAATCTCCAAACTAACAGTAAGACGCTCGTGGATTTTGCGCGGTCTCTCGAGTAGGTTGGGTGGCTTCTCGTTGATACTGGTGCTAAATAATTACGATACACTCTGCGTGTATGTGTGTGGGCGCGTGTGTGCACGTGTATGTATGTATGTAGGTTCCGTACCAGGATCGTCATGGAAGAAGAAACTTCGTCGTCGCGATAAATTATTCGTTTCTCGCGACTAACGTGTGCTTAGTTTTCATTTCCTAGGTTTCAGCCACTAGTCGAGGCAACTCTTCGAGGGACTCGAAACCGCTTCGATTCGCAAATCGGGTTAAACACACGCGGGCGCCCACGGTGAAAAGAGGGCTGAATAAAAACGTCAACTTCCACTTCGTCGGTAATGCGCGCACCCCGTTTCTACCTCACCTCGCAGAACACTCTTTCTCCCTCTCCCCTCTTCCCTCTCCTCGCCGCGAGGTGGATTTCCTGGCGAAATCGTAGATTTAGATAGCTCGACACGCGACGTTTAGAGACGTGTTATTCCGAAGAATAACCCGACGGGAATGCGGGCCGAGCGGTGCCTTTCAAACAGGCGGCACGGCTCAATTACACGGAACGCAGTGCCTCGCATACCGTGAAATTGCGTTATCGCCGCTAAAATGATCACGATAACACGCGTGTTTCGCGCTCGCAATGCCGCGTCCACTTCGCCCCCGCGTCCGGCTGGCCGTCGGACGATTTTCATAGAACGCGCGCGTCATTTTTTCCCGCGATCGCCCGACGCAGCACGGTATCTCTTAGCGACGTTTAATGCGCCTTGTTATCCCGCGCAAATCATCGCGATTCGCTCGCCGCTCGCGGGATTCGATTGAAGCGGCAGAGGATCTGGCCATAATTCGTGATGCCATTAACGCGATAATCGCGCCATTTCGCGGTGTACGCGCACAGTAGTGAGATGTACGCGGGAGTGTATCCGAACGAAGAGCAGAAGGCCGAAAGGTTTCCGCTCTGATCCTGCACATTTTTGCACGTCCTTTTGATCACGCATCGTGCAACACTCTGAGTTGTGAGCCACGCGTGTGGAAAAAAGAATTTATAATGGCGAAAATTCTCTGCTCTCGACCGTGCGTTTGGACTTTTGAAGGGAACTAGCGAGCTCTCTTCGGGGTCTCCCTCCACTTTGGAATTATAAAAATGTCACTCGCAAAATGAGGGCAGCCTCGACGACGAGGTGTAAAAATTCCCGACGGAAATTTATCCTGAATCGTCTTTTTCATTTTCTCTCTATATCGCTCTCTATAATAATTTTCTCTACGATAATTTTCATCATTACTGAGCTAGCAAGCACTTTTCAATACGTTTAATATTCACCCAACAAATATAATATTACCCAACAAGTATTCTCAGTGAAATCCCCTTATGGACTCAAGAGGATTTTTCTGAAACTAAGAAGAAAATATTGTAACATCCATAAAAAAAACTTTAATTGCAAGATATTATTTCTTGTAATCCCATATTCTGAGAAAGAACTTCTACGGAAAGAGTATTTCTCATAATTCATTCAGAACAAAAAATATGGTGATGGTAATTATTATATATAGATGACAACTATACAAGTTTTGCATGTAGAAGTAATGTTTGTAGTTGAATAAATTATGTTTTATAGTTATTGCAACTGCAGTTTCAATTACAATCACTGTAAAATAATTTATATTCAATCAATTTAGAACTACAGTTTTACAAAGGAAACTTTTAATCTCTAATTATCACCTACATAATGCCATTATCCACGTTTTTCTCGGAGTATGAAGAAGAATAATATTGCGCTTAGAATATTTTTCTCCTGATTTTAGAAGAATTCTCTTGAAACCATATATAAAAGGATTCCACTAAGGATAAGATTTTTTTTGGAAGTATTGTATATTAATTACTACCAATATTGTAATTACGCTTTTTCTTTAATACGCTTTTTTTTCTGTAATATTTCAAGTTTTACAAGGCTTACCGTAAGTCATGAATAAATACCACTTATTCACTTTTTCTTTCACCCCTTCTTTTCCCTCTGCCTCCTTTCTCAATCCACACGTGCGCATGATATGTACATACACGCGTATTTGGATTAAAAACAAACGCACACGGAAGAAAAAGTTTGGTTGAATTGAGTAAATTTCTGTAAAATTTCGGTAAAATACGAACGAACCAGAAATTCCGACTGAAGTTATGAGAATTCCGTCCAGATACTAAGAACAAAATTTCTATGCAAGTGACAAGATTTCTGAGTAGACTACAGCAGAATTTTAGTAACATCAACTGGAATTTTCTGGAAGGTTCATATTTTACCAAAAATTGCTTAATCAAACTTTCTTTTTCTGTATATCATTAATGTTCAAATCTTCTTTCTTTTTGTCTCTATAATAACTTTCCGTCCCTCTGTAATCTTCTCTATCCATCTTTCCATCATCACTAATACGGCAAACACTTCCCAATCAATGTAACAAATATTGTATACCAATTGTCAATACTGCAATTTCTCTTTCACGCTTTTTCTCCAAACCATTTTGCAATATTTCACGCTCAGAGGGCTTACCTTTGGACACATTAATCAATTTTACTCACTTACAATTCTTTCACCCTCTCTTTTTCTCTCTCCCTCCCTCTTTCTCCCCTCTCGGTCCATACGCGCACACGATATGTACACACACGTGTATTTGGATAAAATACAAACACAAACAGTCCTTAGTAAAACATAACACGCCGGAAAATTTCTCGCACGCTACCGATGTTTCCGGGCGATGCTTGTTTCCCGCGGCAATGTACGTGCATCGCATACGTGGATATTGACACATTCTATTTGGTATTTCCGAGCTCGCCTCTCCGCGCCTTATTTTTCGCAGTCATTGCGGAAGTAATCCCTCGAGTGCGGGGGCAAGGCAGAGAGAGAGAAAGAGAGAGAGAGAGAGAGAGAGAGAGAGAGAGAGAGAGAGAGAGAGAGAGAGAGAGACGGCCGACGGCCCCTTCCGGCGTCGTCTCGTTCTCCAAACACGAAATCGTCCGTCAAACTACCGGATGTCGCGTCGCCCCGCACGATTATTTACATTCGAATATGTTTTTCCGACGTCAGGATACGTCATCGCACGTGGCGCATCTTGCTATCCCCCTTTAACTCGGCGGATCGCTACAATTCCGGCTATTCCCGTTACTACTATGTGCGGTTGCTACTGTTACCGCACCTGTTCTCACGTTACCGTACCTACTCTCGTTACCGTACCTACTCTCGTTAACGAGAGGGATCCGCCAACATCGCCTTCTGTACAGCGCGTCGAAATTAACTGCTATCGCCGTCGTTTTCATTCCCCCGCGTTCTTCCACTAATCCGACATTCAGTTGACAACAACGATGGAAAACAACGAGCGAGCAACAGAAGAAAAAAATAAAATAAAAAAACAAAGAAAAAATATCGTATGGTTACTTCGGGAGAATCTTTCTCGTGAATGACATTTTAACACTCCGCGTTAATCAATGTTGGAGTCTCTGTGAGAGAATTTAAACGCTCGACAACTTTCATAAAAGATTCAGGAAAGTCTCAAAATAAGACAAATCTTGCAGATTTTTATTATGCCAGCTTTTACAGCTGAGGTTTTTCTATATTTTTGAAAAGAAAATATATGTTCAGAAATATTGAGTTTCTACAAAATTGTGATAGTTTAAAGTTTCCGAGTCGAAATTTTGATCCTGCTTGAGACCTCAATATTCCATTTAACGCTTGCTTGGATATTCTGAAATCTATATTTGATTCTATTTAACCCACTAACTTCACCGAGAGTTCTCTTTAGAATCTATCTAGAATATTTTGTGTGTTTTCCACCATTTAAAGGCTTCGAATAGCTTCGAAGATCTTGAGATCAAATCTCCTTTGCTTCGAAGATATTCAAAGTGACAATATTATTGATTCATCCTATACATGACCTGAAAAGGATTCTTCTAAAATCAAAAGAAAAAGATTTTGAGCACAATATTTTTAAAATTAGAGAAATTTCTTTAAGTTTGGTTATTAATTTTAAACACAATATTCTTAAAGTTAGAGAAATTTCTTCAAGTCTTATTCTTAATAGACATTTCTTTTAATAACAGGGTATTCTGCTACAAGTAAACAAATATATTGATTCAAAAAGGAAAAAGATATTTAGTAGATTTCTGATTGACAGTCCACTTCATTAGAGGAATACTTCTGCGGTGAAAGTTTTCATTTTAAGGATATGGGATTACTAAAAGAAGCACCTTGCAATTAGAGTCCTTTTCTTTTTTAAGTAGGTAGAACATTTTCTTTTTGGTTTCAGGAGAATCCTTTTGAGGTCAAATAATAAGAGGATTCTGCTAGGGATGAAATTATATATTTAGGTGTACTGATCCTCTTTAGAATACACAGATATTAAAAAGTCGAAGTTGAAAGAATGGGATTAAAATTTCGATTCGGATTGACAGGCTTATTCGTACCGTATGCTCCAACAAGTACGATTATATACGGAGGGTTGATCTAATGCATAGTCACCGCGAGAGCTGCAGGGTGGCCAGCACCAAGTCGGCGAGGACGGTCGAACGTACCGTACTTACTCACACGTGCCGCCTTATCAAAATGTATCGCCATTTCCTCCGTTCTTTATGGAATCTTAATGGCATGGTGCGGTGGGTGCGCCCTGTGCATGCCGACGGGAGTTATAAAGACACCGGTACGTACGCCAGCTTCCCCGCTATCTAATCCGCTTTGGCCGACGTTACGTTCGTAGAGGAAGAAAGAAAAAAAAAAAGAAAATGGCGTGCAGCCGGCAAACAAGAGGAGACCACGGCACGCGAGAGGAGTGACGAAGATGTAGTGAGGGTGATAAAGGGGGTTGAAAA